CGGATGGGGGGGGGGGGGGGGGGGGGGGGGGGGGGGAAGAGGCAGAGAGAGAGAGAATATTTTGAGTTTTGCTGCCTGCTCCTCCCACAAGATACAACCTCCTGCTGCCAGTGCTGTCTGCAAAGCAGCATTTCAAACAGTGCTTAGGCTTGGCTTGTGAGGAGTGAAGAGAAAGAAAGAGAGCGAGCTCAGACTCTGAAGGAAGAGGGTGAAAAGCAGCACTCAAGATTTTATCTCTCCTATCCTATGGATTTTACAAACTAGACCTCTCCCCCCCCCCAGCCAGACTTTTATCATGAGTGCACTGCCGCTGGATCTCCCGAGGAGTCCTCTAACCCAGTGAGCAGAACTTTGTGGGGCAGGCATTTCCCCTCCCCAGCTGTCTTTCATGGTAAAGTATTTAGCCCTGCTCTCCAGCCCACGGGGGCTCTTTCTCTCCCCTCCACAGGGAGCTGCGTGAAGGAGGAGAGGAGAGAGAGATGCATGTGGGGTGGTTCAGGCAGGCTGCCTCCTGGCTGCTGGTCCTGTGGGCTGCTGCTCCCTGCCTGTGGCTGCGCTGCATCCTGGCCGATTTCACCTTGGACAATGAGGTGCACTCGAGTTTCATCCACCGGAGGCTGCGGAGCCAGGAGCGCCGGGAGATTCAGCGGGAGATCCTCTCCATCCTGGGCTTGCCCCACCGGCCCCGGCCCCATCTGCACGGCAAGCAGAACTCTGCCCCCATGTTCATGCTGGATCTCTACAATGCCATGTCGGTGGAGGAGGAGACGGCAGGAGCAGCCGGGGAGGAGGGAGAGGGATTCTCCTACCCTTACAAGCCCATCTTCAGCACCCAGGGGCCACCCCTGGCCAGCCTGCAGGACAGCAACTTCCTCACGGAAGCAGACATGGTGATGAGCTTCGTGAATCTGGGTGAGTCTCTAACCCCCATCCCGGGGGAGTCTGGGATGAGATTTTTTTTGGGGGGGGGATAAATGCCTGAGTGTTGGGATTAGTGCCTGGGGAGGGGGTTGAGATGGGCAGATCCGTCTGATGGGCAAAGGAAGGACAAGAATGTGATAGCCCATGTGTCTCTACTGGTGGCCACAGGTGGCCCTGGTGGCAGGTGGCTCCAATGGTGGGGAAGGGAAAATAAGTAGCCCCAAGAAAAAGTACTTTTTTGTTACATCATATGTAAATGGCAGTAATCTTGAAATTCAGCTGGGCAGAGCTCAGCCTCTATTTCACATCATTAGGGTTTTTAGAAGTTTATTGTGCTGAATCAGCGCTTACCTCTCATGAAAATTCTTCCTCCTTCTGCCGATAAACTCCTTATTTTCCCAGTCCCAGAGATGAGGTTCTCAGAGGTGAAGGAATCATTAGTGGGCCTGGCCTGCCTCAGGAACCTCCAAGGAAGATATGAAACCTACGAGCACAAGATCATGAGCTGCCTTGTAGTTCAAAGCACTGAGCTTAGAGTCATCTAATGCCGCTAGAGTAGCTGAAAATGGATGGATTCCAGTGCAGCGGGGAAGACTGCATTAACTGAATTGAAAGGGCCAAGCTGCTGAGAGTCTGTTTTCTTAATTGCTTTTGTGGGTTTCAGTGGCAAATCCTTATTTACTCCTGCAGTGCTTTCTACTTTCTCTACATAGTCTTTCTTCTAGTTTTAGGCAGCTAGTTGCTTTCTTTCACAAGCACATGTGGATGGGTTTATGCAAAGGACCTGAAAGTTGCCACACTTTGAATGCAGCTCACTAGGCCCCTAATTGGATGCCATGGTCCAATCTGAGTTCTATTTGTCTGCTGTAGATTGTATATCCTTTTGGACTAACTTGTCTGGATTTGAGTAAAATGCTGACAGGGCCAACATTCTATTTTAAATATGTAATTATAGGTCCCAGTTCACTGTATCCAGTTTTAGCACTCATCACGTGTGGCACTGAAACCACCGAATGTACAGATTGGGTGCCTGCAATTTTAAGACCAAATCGGAACCGTAGTTTCAAAACAAGATCAACTCAAAGTTACTTTGGGACAAGGAGCAAGAGGCATAGACCCAATGCACATAAAATGGTGCAGACTGCACCCTTACATTTAATACTGTAAAATAATAATCATTTAGGGCTTACTGGTTGTCACTATGTTTCACCCCATGGCCACCTAGAACTTCATGGTGGCAACAGAAATTGAACTATAATCCTTCTGGCACTTTACCTAAAGGAGAATCACTAATAGCAGTATAAGCTCTATGTTACACCATTGAATAGGTATGACTATATACATTATCATTCCATTGCAATTTTGATGAAACCTGGAGATGGAGTATTGTATGCTGGACTTCTAGTGTCCATAAGTCATACATCCATATTAAATACCATGAACCTCAGATGAGTGCTTTATGAGTTTCATTTGATCAGGGGCTACACTTTTTTGAAAGTGATAATGGGTTCAATTTAGAATTAGAATGCTCGTCTAATCACTTTTAAATATGAAAGCCAATCATCAACGATTCATGTTAAAAATCAAACATCTCAATGTCCAAAATTACAGTTGGTGGTCAAATATTTGACTTTAAAGATAAGAGATGTTGACACTGTGCTTGCTGGTACCTTAGTTTTAAGTATAAAGTAAAGCCTAAGGCTGAAAGTGCAGGGACACACAATAAAATCTAACAGAGAACAAAAGATGGTGAAATAATGAAACAAATTCCCATTTTTCTTTTTATATTTTAAAAGTATGATTTTATGAAAGGAATAAATAACTAACAGAATCAACTCCAGATAGATAAATGTTTTTCTCTAGGGGAATAATTATATCCTTTGTAAAAAGCAAAAATTAATTCCAACAAAGCTTTCATAAGTACTGCTCTAGGACCCCAGTCTTATACTCATTGTGTAAGGAAAAGTCTCTTTGAAATCCATGGGAGTTTTATGTAAAACCTATTAAGATGCAGGCCCTAAAGTAAATTATATTTTCCAAAGTGTGATTTTAGTGAAATTAGTCAACATATTAAAAAACAAGGACAAAACATTTTTTGGATATCTCCTATAAGAGTATCACAGAACACATCAAAGCAATGGCATATATGTAAACAGCAGGGCCAGACGGAGCCATTCTAGCACCCCCGGCAAACAGGTTAATTGCGCCCCGGGTTGGGGGAGGGCGCATGCGCAGCTCTGCCCCTGCACCGGCTCGTGGGGGAGGTTGCATGCACTGCTCTGCCCCTGTGCTTGCGCGTGGGAGAGGGCGCATGTGCGGCCCCGCCTCTGTGCCGGTGCATAGGAGAGGGAGCATGTGCAGCCCCTCCTCTGCCCGGCGTGTGGGCGGCCCCGCCCCCACCTGGCACGTAGGGGAGAGTGCGTGGAGCTGGTGGCAGCAGGACACACATGCCCAGCTCAGCCCAGCCCGGTTACTGCCGCTGGCGCACCTGGCACGTAGGGGAGAGTGCGTGGAGCTGGTGGCAGCAGGACACACATGCCCAGCTCAGCCCAGCCCGGTTACTGCCGCTGGCGCGCAGCCCGGGGCCGCCCGGGGCAGGCCGAGCCTGGCTGTGCAGAGCCCTGCGGTCACAGGGCGAAGAGTGCTGCTGGCCGGCGCTATGGGGGTTAACGTGGCCCCTGCCCCGGGTGGCCGCTGCAAGGTGGCCGCTGGGAGCTGCTGCAGCCCGCGATCCAGGAGTTGGGTGTGTGGCGCCTGATGGCAGCTATAAGCTGTAAATCCTCATAGGTTGGTGCCCCGGGCAGCTGCCCAGCTAGCCCATGCCTTAATCCGGCCCTGGTAAACAGAGATTAAAGTGTAACATTAAGATTATTATGCACTCCATCAAAACGATTGGCTTCTGTAATCAGTTAAGAAAGTATAAAGTATTCTCTAAGCAAAATGGTCCTTTATAGTTTCATTTAATTGCTGTCAGGATGGTCAGTCATTAGTCAGAAAGTAGGCAATAGTCAATGGTTTTATATAGACAGGTGAAATTATTACCAACAAGGCACTTTTGAGAGGTTTATCTGTACTGTTTTGTTCCCCTGTCAACAGTGCATGCCAGGACAAGTTTAAAAAAGACATAGATCTGGAATAGCTTTCTTCATCACTGTGCACACCTTTCATCCCCTTATAGTCATCGTTCTTTCATCTGTATAGGACAAAGCTTGGCTTGTTTACGGACTTCTTAATGATTTAGACTAGCCACTAGCTCTCATAGATAGTCAAAGATGACACCTGCTTTAGTATGAACAGTTTTCTATGGCATCCAGTGAAAATTAGATCTATTATAGGACTGATTTTTTTTTAAGGTTTCTACAATGATTCCATTTAAACCAGAGCTGAATTACTAAACACAGTCTGTATTAAACTGTGTCCTGGTTTTGTAAGAGATACTCTGTGGGCATTGAATTGCACAGGTAGGCTTTTATTACATTCTAAAGATAGCACAATGAGAAAGTGTCACAGTATTATAAAATGTGAATCTTAGTAATGGGGGAAGTGAGAGTAACTAGAGAAGTCGTTACTGAATCTAAACTTCAGTAAACAAGCTATGTTACTGCAAATCTGTATGACTTCCAAAAGATGGTCTACTGATATCTGTTCTCTTTTTGAACATCTTTCTCCATCCATCTAGAAAGATGGTTTTTGTTGAAATTAAAGACTTTACAGATGATATATTACATGCAATGAAAGAGGAGACCAAGTCATTGATTTTCTGTGGAGTTAAGTCAGGACTGAATTTGCTCAAAGAGGTTATATTTTACCTTATGGTACATCCATACAACAGAGGAAGAGCGAAGCTGCCTCTCTTGATCTTCCAGGTTCAAATTAGCAGTCTTGTTAAGACACCTAATTCAAAGTGAGAGGCATCTTAGTCGATGCTGGTAACCCTGTTTTCACAAGGATAAGGGCAGTTTTCCTTCCTTTGACTTCCTGCAGTGAAAACAGCGCCAAAAGCCAAGTTAAGGTACTTCGACTTCAGCTACACAATTAACGAAACTGAAGTTGCGTATCTTAATTCGACTTTGTTCTGTAGTGTAGACGTACCCTTAGTGATTAGGAATCAGAATACAGACGCTTTATTTCAAGGGTAGCTTGAAACAAACTAGGTTTATATTGAGCCAGTAGCGTTGTCAATCTACCCCTCTGACGCATGGTAATAGCTTGATAATTAACTAGATACATCGCTAGATCCAGTGAACTCATGGGCCAGTTTCTGTTCTCTGTTACACCTGTACTAGATGGATGAGGAATGGGGCTGTGTTAGGAATAGGCTTGGATGTAAAACAGAATTTGCCACACAGGTATGAATACTTAACTTAAAAAAATAATGACTAGGCTTATATTGGTAATACTGTACATTTTATTCCTTTGGATTTCATTTAAAAGAAAAAGTGTTTTCTTCCCCAACCTTTATTTTAGAAGTCTTAAACAGCAACTAATGAGAAAACATCTTCTAGGCTGCCTGGAGCTTCTCCCCTCCCCTAAAAAGAATTGGACTATCTTTATGTTTATAGTCTTGACTTAGTATAAATAGTCCTTCCTTGACTTTTTTTTAAAAGATCCTGCATGAGTAATGTGCAATTAATTTGTCTCATGGCTGATTATAAAATGGATAAAATTATTTAATCCTTTAAAAAATGAGATTAAAAAATAGAAAGTTAGTCATTCTTGGAAGGAACCTGTAAAAGTGTCTTTTTAAAAATGTAAATCAAGAAGCTGAAGAGCCCCTAAGTTTCATTTTATTTCATACCATCTGGCTATCCTTTTTGTTGACAAGTGTTTGGCAGAGAGAACCATCTCTTTGCCCTTTAATAACAGGCTTTAACACTGTAGGGTATTAGAAAAAGATTCTATAACAGTTAAAAAATTTCCTTTGGGAAATACTTTATAAAGTGAGCACGGGCTGCAGGCATTTGCAGCTGTAACCTGGCTTGTGTTAAAAT